ACACGGGGGGACACGAAGGGGACGCGGGGGGACACGAAGGGGACACGGGGGGACACGGGGGGACATGGGAGTACACCAGGGGAACACCAGAGAGACACGGGGGGGACACGAGAGGACACGGGGAGACACGGGTGGGACACGGGGAGACACGGGGGGGACACGGTGGTACACTAGGGGGTCACAGGGAGGTGACAGCTCCCCCAGCACCACGGGGGACAGGTGGCTGGATGTCCCCTCCCCACGCTGGCCTCGCTCCTCGCCACCACGAGGCCACCCGGGCGGGGCGGCCGCGGTGTCGCCGGGAGCGTGGGGACGGTCACCAGGGCCCCCCCGCGCCCCCCCAGCGCCGCTCCCCCCTGCCCGGCAGAGCTGCAGATGATGGTGGAGCATCACCTGTGCAAGCAGGCGCAGGGCGGCGACGACGACGACGAGGTGGCGACCACCGCCCGCTGCCACCGCGGCGACCCCGAGCACCGGCACAGCCCCGGCGGCTCCTGCCCCGCCCAGGGCGGCCACCGTGAGTGGGGGGCGCTGGGGGGGACAGGGGGCACTGGGGGGGCCTGAGGTCACCCCCTGTGCTGTGGCACCCGCAGGGACACCCGGGGATGGGACCCCCCAGGCTGGGACACCCCGGGCCGGGACCCCCCAGGCTGGGACACCCCAGGCTGGGACCCCCCAAGCCGGGACCCCCCGGGCCGGGACCCCCGGGACCGCGCGGCGCAGCCGGGCTGAGGACGGGACCCATATAGAGCCTGGGGACAGCGCGGGCAGTGGCCACTAGGTACGGCCTGGGGACAGTGGGGGACACTGGGGGGTGCTGGGGACACTGGGGACACTGGGGGCACTGGGGACACTGGGGGGGCGTTGGGGACACTGGGACACTGGGGGGCAGTGGGGACACTGGGGGGGGCAGGGGGGAAACTGGGGACACTGGGGGGGCAGTGGGGACACTGGGGGGGCAGTGGGGACACTGGGGACACTGGGGGGCAGTGGGGACACTGCGATACTGGACTGGGGCAGTGGAGGGGCACTAGGACATGGTACTGGGGCACTAGGGTGGCACTGGGACACTGGGGTGTCACTGGGGTGTCACTGGGACACTCCCTGCCACTCCCCAGGGACAGGGACAGTGCCAGGGCCAGGGTGGCCCTGCTGGCACAGGGCAGGGACAGGGCTGTCCCCTCCCCCGGTCCCCAGCGCTGTCCCTGTCCCTTGTCCCCAGGTGTGGCCACGGCAGCCGGACGCCAGCGCAGATTTTTTATTCCATTTTCTAAGATTTTGGGGCCGCCCAGAATCCTTTTGGGATTTTTTTTATTTTATTTTATTCCCACGGGCAGGTCCCCACTGTGGGGGGGGGGGGGCCCCCTCACTGCCACCCCCGGGTGCCCAGGGCAGGTGACACGTGCCACACACCCCCCCCCCTCACTGCCACCCTTGGGGGACACCGGGGACACTGAGTGACACCCTGCGTGCCCCCACCCCCACTCCCCAGGGTGGGGGACACAGAGCAGACCCCCCCCCCTCACTGCCACCTTGGGGGTGTCCCCTGGACCCCCCCCCACCTGTGCACACCTGGGGGGGACACCTGGACACAGGGAGGGGACACAGGGAGGGGACACGGGGAGGGGACATTCCCGAACATTCCTGAGCATTCCCGGGACTTTCCCGAACATTCCCGGGGGTCGGGGCAGCCCCGGGGAGCCGGAGGGAATCCGGGATGGCAGGGGGTGCTCGAGGGGAGCGGGTCCGCGATTCTGGAACATTCCCGGGGCTGGATCCAGGATCCTGGAACATTCCTGGGGTTGGATCCAGGATCCTGGAAGATTCCCAAGGCTGGATCCGGGATCCTGGAACATTCCCGGGACTGGATCCGGGATCCTGGAACATTCCTGGGGCTGGATCCAGGATTCTGGAACATTCCTGGGGTTGGATCCAGGATCCTGGAAGATTCCCAAGGCTGGATCCGGGATCCTGGAAGATTCCCAAGGCTGGATCCGGGATCCTGGAACATTCCTAGGGTTGGATCCAGGATCCTGGAAGATTCCCAAGGCTGGATCCGGGATCCTGGAACATTCCTAGGGTTGGATCCAGGATCCTGGAAGATTCCCAAGGCTGGATCCGGGATCCTGGAACATTCCTAGGGTTGGATCCAGGATCCTGGAAGATTCCCAAGGCTGGATCCGGGATCCTGGAACATTCCTAGGGTTGGATCCAGGATCCTGGAAGATTCCCAAGGCTGGATCCGGGATCCTGGAACATTCCTGGGGCTGGATCCAGGATTCTGGAACATTCCCAAGGCTGGATCCAGGATCCTGGAAGATTCCTGGGGTTGGATCCGGGATCCTGGAACATTCCTGGGGCTGGATCCAGGATCCTGGAACATTCCCGGGGCTGGATCTAGGATTCTGGAACATTCCTGGGACTGGATCCGCGATTCTGGAACATTCCCGGGGCTGGATCTAGGATTCTGGAACATTCCGGGGACTGGATTCGGGATCCTGGAACATTCCTGGGACTGGATCCGCGATTCTGGAACATTCCCGGGGCTGGATCTAGGATTCTGGAACATTCCGGGGACTGGATTCGGGATCCTGGAACATTCCTGGGACTGGATCCGCGATTCTGGAACATTCCCGGGGCTGGATCTAGGATTCTGGAACATTCCGGGGACTGGATTCGGGATCCTGGAACATTCCTGGGACTGGATCCGCGATTCTGGAACATTCCCGGGGCTGGATCTAGGATTCTGGAACATTCCGGGGACTGGATTCGGGATCCTGGAACATTCCTGGGACTGGATCCGCGATTCTGGAACATTCCCGGGGCTGGATCTAGGATTCTGGAACATTCCGGGGACTGGATTCGGGATCCTGGAACATTCCTGGGACTGGATCCGCGATTCTGGAACATTCCCGGGGCTGGATCTAGGATTCTGGAACATTCCGGGGACTGGATTCGGGATCCTGGAACATTCCTGGGACTGGATCCGCGATTCTGGAACATTCCCGGGGCTGGATCTAGGATTCTGGAACATTCCGGGGACTGGATTCGGGATCCTGGAACATTCCTGGGACTGGATCCGCGATTCTGGAACATTCCCGGGGCTGGATCTAGGATTCTGGAACATTCCGGGGACTGGATTCGGGATCCTGGAACATTCCTGGGACTGGATCCGCGATTCTGGAACATTCCCGGGGCTGGATCTAGGATTCTGGAACATTCCGGGGACTGGATTCGGGATCCTGGAACATTCCTGGGACTGGATCCGCGATTCTGGAACATTCCCGGGGCTGGATCTAGGATTCTGGAACATTCCGGGGACTGGATTCGGGATCCTGGAACATTCCTGGGACTGGATCCGCGATTCTGGAACATTCCCGGGGCTGGATCTGGGATCGTAGAACATTCCCAAGGCCGGATCCAGGATTCTGGAACATTCCTGAGGCTCAGTTTGGGATCCTGGAGATTCCCAAGGCTTGGTGGATTTGGGATCCTGGAAGATCCCAAGCCTGGATCCAGGATTCTGGAACATTCCTGGGGCTGGATCCAGGATCCTGGAACATTCCCGGGGCTGGATCTAGGATTCTGGAACATTCCTGGGACTGGATCCGGGATCCTGGAACATTCCCGGGGCTGGATCCATGGATTCCCCAAACACTCCGCGATTCCTGAGGCTCACTGGAGCTGGAGGGGGCTGGACTGGGATGTGGGAGCATTCCCGAACATTCCCGCCATTCCCAGAATTCCCGAACATTCCCAGCATTCCCGAATTTTCCCGAACATTCCCGGCATTCCCGAACATTCCCGGGATGTCGCAGGGAGCGGGGACATCCCAGGGATGCGCTGGAGCCGGGGGACACCGGAGCGGGATCCGTCCCTGTCCCCGCCGCTCCCTGTCCCCGGTGCCATCCGCGCCACACCGGCGGGATCCCGTGGGGACCTCCCTGTCCCTGTCCCTGTCCCTGTTCCTGTCCCTGTCCCTGTCCCTGTCCCCTCTCCTGTCCCTGTCCCTGTCCCCGGGTGGGATGGGGACAGGGCACAGTGCCACCCTCACGGTGTCACCAGCCACACCCCGCGGGCACCGAGGGGAGCACGGTGGCCCTGGCGGTGACAGCGTGTCCCCCCCGGCTGTCCCCAATGTGTCCCCCCCCTGGCTGTCCCCAGCTTGTCCCCCCATGGCTGTCCCCAGCTTGTCCCCCCATGGCTGTCCCCAGCGCCACCGTCCCCGCCCCAGCCCCTCCCGCGCGGGAAAAGCGTTTTTAAAAATCCCAAAGGACCGAGCCCGGTGGGGGCCGGGGGTGGCAGTGACGCGGGCACCGAGGGGAGCACGGTGGCCCTGGCGGTGACAGCGTGTCCCCCCATGGCTGTCCCCAGCTTGTCCCCCCCATGGCTGTCCCCAGCTTGTCCCCCCCTGGCTGTCCCCAGCGCCACCGTCCCCGCCCCAGGCCCTCCCGCGCGGGAAAAGCGTTTTTAAAAATCCCAAAGGACCGAGCCCGGCGGGGGCCGGGGGTGGCAGTGAGGGACCGGTGACACCGGGACAGAGGGGACAGCCCGGGGGGCTCCTGGCACGGTGGTGACACCGGTCCTGGCACAGAGGTGACACCGATCCTGGCACAGCGGCGACACCGGTCCTGGCACGGAGGTGACACCGGTCCTGGCGCGGTGGTGACACCGGTCCTGGCACAGAGGTGACACCGATCCGAGCCCAGCCCCAGGGACTCCTGGCACAGAGGTGACACCGGTCCTGGCACAGCAGTGACACCGGTCCTGGCACAGCGGTGACACCCATCCGAGCCCGGCCCCGGGGGCTGCTGCCCTGTGGATGGTGCTGAACTCGATGGCATCGAAGACGAGACGGTGTCACTCGCCGGACAAGGACCTGCCGGGAGGGGACAGTCACCGCCGTGTCCCCCCCCCGCCGCTCCCGATGTCCCCGCCTCTCTCCCGGTGTCCCCGCCTCTTTCCCGGTGTCCCCGCCCTTTCCCGATGTCCCCGCCCCTTTCCCGGTGTCCCCACCTGGCTCCTCCCGCCGCTATTCCACGTCCCCGTTCTCGCTGTGGGTCCCGGTGGCCGCGGGCTCCTCGCACGGGGACAGCTCATCGATGGATGCCTGGTTGGTGATGCCTGGGGGGACACGGGTAGGGTCACTGGGGACACGGCCTGGGGTCACCGGGGACACCCCGGAACTTCTGTCCCCCCCGGGGCCACCCCCCTGCACAGCCTGGGGCCACCTGCACCATGTTTGTGTCACCTCCCGTCTGGGAACACTGTGACAGAGGTGGCCCTGAGCAGTTCGTGGTGGTCCCCAGCCCCTCCCCGGTGGCCATGATGGCCATAGTGGCCATGGTGGCCATTGGTGGCCGTGGTGGCTGTACTGGCCATGGTGGCTGTACTGGCCATGGTGGCCATTGGTGGCTGTGGTGGCTGGACTGGCCACGGTGGTTGTACTGGCCATGGTGGCCATGGTGGCCATTGGTGGCCGTGGTGGCTGTACTGGCTGTGGTGGCCATGGTGGTCATGGTGGCCGTCCCCTACCGCTGGCCGCCCTCTCCTTCCACTTCTGCTTGTTCTCCTGGATGTGCTTGGTCCAGGTGGAGCGGAACCCGGCCAGGTCGGCTTTGATGTCCCCCACCTCCAGGTGCTCATCCAGGGACGGCTGCCGCCACTGCGAGCTGGGGGACAACGGGGACGGCTGGCAGCGGGCCAGGGCCACCGCTGCCACCACAGGGCACAAACCTTGGGGACAGGGACACTCACCTGGGCTGCTGGGTGGCCGCAGGGTTGCCCTTGGCCTTGGAGCCGTCCTCGGCCAGCGGCGTCACCAACTTCTCGGCCACGTCGGTGAGCACCGAGAACGTCGGCTCCACGATGAAGTCGATGAACCCTGGGGACAGGAGGGGACACGGCGTTGCTGGGGACACACCGAGGGCAGCGTGGGGATGGCATGGGGACAGGACAGGGACAGGACAGGGACAGGAACCGCGCCCGGACTCACCGATCTGCGACTGGGCCACCAGCGTGGAGGTGCGGTCGCAGAGGGGCGAGAAGGGCAGCCCCAGCTCGGCCTCCTTGTCCCCCTGGCAAGGCAAGGGACATCCGTGGTGTCCCCACGGGGTGTCCCCCACGTCCCCCCGCCCGGCCCCGGCCCTACCTGCCGGAAGAACTCCTCCATGAGGGCCTTGGTCCAGCGGCTGTGCACCGCCCACTGCTTGGTGGGGTGGCTGATGTCGGCCGCGTGCAGCAGCAGCGACAGCACCTTGGACTTGTCCAGCCTGGGGACAACAGCCCGGCGCTCAGATTGTCCCCAAAGCCACCCCGCCAGCCCTGGGGACACACCTGGGGGCTGGGGACCACCCCCACCCACCTCTCCAGCTGCTGCAGCGCCGTCTTCATGGACTTGACCTGCTGGAAGTGGCAGGACATGTCGGTGGCCAGGACCATCTCGATGACCAGCGCCCGCAGCTCCCTGCGGGGAGGGAGGGGACACGGTCAGGGGACAGCGCGGGGACAGCGCGGGGACAGCGAGGGGACAGCGAGGGGACAGCGAGGGGACAGCGAGGGGAGCTTACGCGAACTCGTCCTTGGTGAGGTTGACGAAGATGTTGAGCTCCTCGTCCTGCATCAGGCGGAACACGGCGCTGATGTGGTGGTTCTCCAGCACCGAGCGGTCGTTGTACAGGATGGCCGTGTCCGACCTGGGGACACGGGGACATGGGGACACTGGGCACGGGGACAGGACCCCCGCAGCGAGGGGCGTCCCTGAGGTGGCAGCACCGCTGTGTCCCGGCTGTGTTGGTGGCCCTGAGCGCTCCTCAGGTGTCCCCAAGGTGCCCCACAGTGTCCCCAGGACGGGTCCGCAGCCCTGTTTGGGACACGCCGTGCCACCCACACTGTGCTGTGCCACCCGGGCCGTGCCGTGTCCCTGTCCCCGTGCCCTCACTTGGTCTGGATGTGGAAGCTGTTCGTTGTCCCCGTGTGCTCGAAGTCGTGGATGGCGGCGGCGAAGACGATGGCCAGGAGCTCGATCTCGGACAGGCAGTGCTGGGGACAGGGACAGCGTGTGAGGGACAGGGACAGGGATGGGGAACAGGGCCACCCCCACTGAGTGTGACACCCCAGGTGTGCTGTGACAGCCGTGTGGGGACAGCGGGCGGCACACGCACCAGGTGCCACCCCACGTGTGACAGCCAGATGGGGACAATTGGGCACAGATGCGTGCCAGGTGCCACCCCGCGTGTGACAACTGCGCACAGACACGTTCCAGGTGCCACCCCATGCGTGTCCACCTGTCCCCCGTGCCCGGTGCCACCCTGGGGACGTTCCCATGGCAACGAGCAGTGCCGGGCGGGAGGCGCGGTGCCAGCCTTGGGGACAGCGCTGTCCCCGTGTCCCCGTACCAGCATGCCGGTGCGCAGCAGGAAGCAGTGCACGGTCTGGGTGACGTCGGCCGCGTGCACCTGGTTGTGGTAGGGGTTCCGGAACTTTCCGTAGCCGCCCTCCAGCGCCTCCAGCAGCGACGTCAGGAACGCGCCGGGAATCTGCCAGTGGGGACATCGGGGTGACGGGGGGGGCACAGTCCCCAGGGGGCAGCTCGGGGGTCCTGAAGGGGAGTTTGGGGTCCTCGGGTGGATTTTGGGGGTCCTGGGTGGTCTTGGGGGGTCCTGAGGGAGTCTCCTGGGATGGAGTTCAGGGGTCCTGGGGAGGGTTTTGGGGCTGTTCTGGGGTTTTTTGGAGGTATTTTGGAGGATTTTGGATGTTGGGCCACAGCTTGAAGCGGCTGTTGAAGTTGTAGAGTGGATTTTGGGGGTATTTTTGGGGATTTTGGGGTGTTTTGGGCTGCCAGGCACACCTTGAAGTGGCTGTTGAGGTTGTGGCGGGTGGATTTTGGGGGTATTTTGGGGGATTTTGGGGTGTTTTGGGCTGCCGGGCTCACCTTGAAGCGGCTGTTGAAGTTGTAGAGCGGATTTTGGGGGTATTTTGGGGGATTTTGGGGTGTTTTGGGCTGCCGGGCTCACCTTGAAGCGGCTGTTGAAGTTGTAGAGCGGATTTTGGGGGTATTTTGGGGGATTTTGGGGTGTTTTGGGCTGCCGGGCACACCTTGAAGCGGCTGTTGAGGTTGTGGCGGGTGAAGAGCTCGAACACCACCGTGCGCAGCGAGTGCTCCTCGGCCGCGCGGTGCAGCGAGAACACGTCAAAGCACCACTGGTCCAGCCCCTGCGGGGACACCGGGGACACTGGGGACACCGGGGGGATGGCATTGATTTCCAGGAATGCCCAGCATTTCCCAGTAAAGCCCAGTAAAACCCCAGTGAAGTCTGCAATTCCCAGTGATTCCCATTGATTCCCAGATTCCCATTGATTGCCAGTAATTCCCATTGATTGCCAGTGATTCCCATTGATTCCCAGTGATTCCCATTGATTCCCAGTAATTCCCATTGATTGCCAGTGATTCCCATTGATTCCCAGTGATTCCCATTGATTCCCAGTGATTCCCAGTAATTCCCAGAGGTTTCCACATATTCCCAATGATTCCTAGAGATTCCCATTGATTCCCAGAGATTCCCAGTAAAACCCCAGTAATTCCCAGAGATTGATTCCCATTGATTCCCAGTGATTCCCATTGATTTCCAGTGATTCCCATTGATTCCCAGTAATTCCCATTGATTGCCAGTGATTCCCATTGATTCCCAGTGATTCCCATTGATTCCCAGTGCTTCCCATTGATTGCCAGCGATTCCCATTGATTGCCAATGATTCCCATTGATTGCCAGTAATTCCCATTGATTCCCAGTAATTCCCATTGATTCCCAGTAATTCCCATTGATTCCCAGTAATTCCCATTGATTCCCAGTAATTCCCATTGATTCCCAGTAATTCCCATTGATTCCCAGTAATTCCCATTGATTCCCAGTAATTCCCATTGATTCCCAGTAATTCCCATTGATTCCCAGTAATTCCCATTGATTCCCAGTAATTCCCATTGATTCCCAGTAATTCCCATTGATTCCCAGTAATTCCCATTGATTCCCAGTAATTCCCATTGATTCCCAGTAATTCCCATTGATTCCCAGTAATTCCCATTGATTCCCAGTAATTCCCATTGATTCCCAGTAATTCCCATTGATTCCCAGTAATTCCCATTGATTCCCAGTAATTCCCATTGATTCCCAGTAATTCCCATTGATTCCCAGTAATTCCCATTGATTCCCAGTAATTCCCATTGATTCCCAGTAATTCCCATTGATTCCCAGTAATTCCCATTGATTCCCAGTAATTCCCATTGATTCCCAGTAATTCCCATTGATTCCCATTGATTCCCAGTAGTTCCCATTGATTCCCATTGATTCCCAGAGGTTTCCAGATATTCCCAATGATTCCTAGAGATTCCCATTGATTCCCATTGATTCCCAGTAAAACCCCAGTAATTCCCAAAGACTGATTCCCGTTGATTTCCAGTTATTCCCAGATATTTCATTGATTCCCATTGATTCCCATTGATTCCCAGTAAAACCCCAGTAATTCCTGGAGATTGATTCCCGTTGATTTCCAGTTTTTCCCCAATATTTCATTGATTCCCATTGATTCCCAGATATTCCCGTTGGCTCCCATTGATTCCCGGTGGCTCCCAGTGCCTCCCAGCCATTCCCAGTAGCTCCCAGCAGCCCCCCGTGGTTTTGGGGTTTTTTTTTGGGGTGTTTGGGGTGCCCCGGTACCTTCAGGCAGTTGAGGACGGAGGAGGAGTAGCTCGGCCCCACGGCCGTGTATGTCCGGCGGAACATCCTGGGGGGAGGCAGGGCTGGTGGGTCTGGGGGGGGGCTGAGGACCCCCGGGGGTCTGGGGACACCCCTGGGGACTCACCTCGGTTCTAGGTGACTGGGTTTTGGGGACCCTCCTGGGTTTTGGGGACCCACCTGATGCTGGGGACAGTCCCTGGGTTTTGGGGACCGCTCTGCTCTCAGCTCACCCCACACACTCCCACATCTCCCCCCCAAGCTCTGTCCCCACCGTGTCCCCTCCGTGCCCTCCTTGGTGTGTCCCTGTGTCCCCTCCGTGCCCTCCTCGGTGTGTCCCTCTGTCCCCTCCGTGCCCCCCTCGGTGTGTCCCTGTGTCCCCTCTGTCTCGGTGTGTCCCTGTGTCCCCCCGTGCCCTCCTCGGTGTGTCCCTCTGTCCCCTCTATGTCCTCCTCGGTGTGTCCCTGTGTCCCCTCCATGCCCTCCTTGGGTGTCCCTGTCCCCCCGTTCTGTGCTCTGCTCGCTGCGTCCCTGTCCCCACATGCCCTGCTCGCTGCGTCCCTGTCCCCCCCGGCGCCCCCCTCGCCGTGTCCCCATCCCGCGTCCCCTTGTCACCTCTCCACGAAGATGCCGGCCTGCACGGCGTGCACGATGCTGCGGAATTTGGGTTTTTCCTCGGCGCGGCGCCCCTTGGCCCGCGCCTGCTGCGTGAAGGTGGCCGCCAGCCAGTCGCGCACCTCGGAGGGCACGGCCGCGTCCGAGCCCATGTCCCGCAGCTCGTCCTCCGTGTCCAGCACCTGCCTGGGGGCACGGCGACACTCAGCGCGCTGCTGTCCCCCCCACCACGAAGCGGGGGTGTCCCCTCGGTGTCCCCTCCCCACCTGGTCTCGTCGATGCACACGGCCTCGAGCAGCGAGGCCGCGTACTCCAGGTTGCGCTTCAGCTCCTCCACGCTCACCTCGCCCGCCTCCAGCTGCTTCACCAGGAAACGGAGCCTGGGGGGCACCGGGGGGGACACCCGGGGGGGGACAGGGGGTTAGGGACGCTCGGGGATGGAGGGGACCTCCGGCAGGGGGGGTACAGAGGGTTAGGGACACCCGGGGACAAAGGGGACAGGAGGGACAGCGTGTTAGAGATCCCCGGGGACAGGGGGGACACCCGACAGGAGGGGGACAGGGTGTTAGAGACCCCCAGGGACAGCCGCGAGGGGGGGACAGAGTGGCATTGACCCTCCCCCAGGAGAGCAGGGACAGCCCCCAGGACAGGGACAGGGGGTCACAGCCCCCCAGGTTGGGGACAGGGGGGTCACAGGAAGGGGACAGGGGAATTGGGGGATTCCCATCTGGGGAGTGCCACCCCCGTGGCACCGGTGGCACCATGACATGGGGTGATACAGGTGGCATGGGGTGATACAGGTGGCATGGGGTGGCACAGGTGGCATGGGGTGATACAGGTGGCATGGGGTGGCACAGGTGGCATGGGGGGGCACAGGTGGCACAGGGGGGGACCCAGGGAGGTGACAGCGTGGGGACACGGGCGCTGCCATCCTGCCCACGCTCGTGCCAGCACAAGGACACCCGTGTGGCCGCCGCGGTCACCGGAGCCACGCGGTGGGGAGGGGCCACCACGTCCCCCGGTCACGGCGACAGTGACGGTGACAGCGAGGGGGGCCGGGGGGAGCGGGGGGGGCACAGACGTCACCAGCGCTGCTGTGACCTTGGGGATGGCGATTGTCACCTTCCCGCACCCTGCCACCCCCCGCGGGGACACTCAGGGACCCCCCCTGGGGACGGCCACCCCCCGGGTCCCCAGCCTTGGTGACCCCCGTGTCACTCGTGGGGACAAGGGGACAAGGCACGGGGCTCGGGCTGTGCCACCCTGCCGGCTGTCACCACCTGCCGCCATGTCCCCTGCCGGTGACCCCCGTGTCCCCAGGGCCACCCCATGGGTGACAGGGTGGCCTCAGGGACCCCCGGGACTGTCACCCCCCCGGTGCTGCTGCCCCTCGGAATGGGGGGGGGGAGGACGACACCGGGGGGGCTCAGGAGGGGACCGCCCCCACTTTGGGGACACACGGCCACCCACCTGTGGGAGCGACACGTGAGCGCACGTGGGGACACACGTGTGACACCCCCAGAGTGTCACCCCCCCCTGCACCCCCGTGTCCCCCGGCACCCTCAGGTGTGTCACACGCGTGTGCCACGCGGCCACCCTGCCCCGCCGTGTCCCACACGTGTCCCCACGCGTGTCCCCACGCACGTGGTGCCCCCCGGGCCGCCCCCGTCCCACGGGGACCCCCCCGCCCCCCCACCAAGCGCCGCACGTGCCGCAGGTGGGCGCGGGGACACGTGAGCTCCCAGGGTCCTGGTTTGGGGGTCCCAGTTTGGGTCTGAAGGGTCGTGGTTTGGGGGTCCTCGTTTGTGGTTTAAGGGTCCCAGTTTGGGGTTTGGGGGTCGAGGGGTCCCGGTTTGGGAGACCAAATTTAGGGTTTAAAGGTCCCGGTTTGGGGGTCTCAGTTTGGGATTTGGGGTCCCAGTCTGGGGTTTGGTTGTCCCGTTTTGGGGGTGTCTCGCTTTGGGGGGTTTTTCTCTTTGGGGGGTGTCCTGCTTTGGGGGGGCTCTCTTTGGGGCTGGGGTGTCTCACTTTTGGGGGGGTGTCTCTCTTTGGGGGGGTCTCTCTCTTTGGGAGGATCTCTCTCTTTGGGGGTGTCTCTCTTTGGGTGTCCCCCCGGGGCTCTCTTTGGGGCGGGGGTCCCGCGGCCGGGGGGGTCACTCACAGCGCCCGCAGCTTGACCCAGACCTTCCTGCCGGGCACGGCCTTGGCGTCCAGCGGGGACGGGCACCCTCCGGCCGCGTCCAGCGCGCCGCGCTCCCGCTCCAGCCCCGGGAGGCTCCGCGGCGGCTCCATCGCCCCTGGGCACCGGCGGCGGCTCAGCCCGGCCCGGCCCCCGCTCCCTCCGCTAGCCCCCGCTCCTTCCCGGAGCCCCCCGCTCCCTCCGGTAGCCCCCCCGTCCCACCGCACCTCCAGAGGGTGATTCTTGGGGAGGGGGTCCCTATGTTTCACCTCCCCAAAATGGGGGGGGGGACTCCTTCCCCTCCCTGGGGGTCCCCGGATTTGCAGCCACGGGACCCCCCCGGGTTGAGCCCCCCCGGATGGGGTGAGGGGCTCTCGGACCCCACCGGGGACACCTCGAGGGTTGAAACCCCAAATTTGGGCTCCTCCAGCCCCTCCTGGGGGGTCCTCCCACCCATTTTGGGGGCTTCAAAGGGATTTTGGGGGTGCTTAGACTGATTTTTGGGGGTCCTCAATCTCATTTGGGGTCTCTCGAACTGATTTTAGGGTTCTCAAACTCATTTTGGGGGTCTCAAACTCATTTTGGGGGGTCTGAAACCCATCTGGGGATCCTTGAACAGGTTTTAGGGGTCTCAAATTCATTTTATGGTCCTCAAATAAACCAGGGGGTCCTCAAAGTGATTTTGGGGTTCTCAAACTGGTTTGGGGATCCTCAAACTGATTTCAGGGGTCCCAAACTCATTTTGGGGGTCTCAAACCCATTTGGGGCTCCTCAAACTGATTTGGGGACCCTCAAAGTGACCTTGGGGGGTCTCCAACTCATTTTGGGGTTCCTCAAACCAATCCCGGAGCCCCAAATTCTCTTTTGGGCTCCCCGAGCTGCTCCTTTTGGGCTCCTCCCCCTCATTTTGGGTGGGGGTCCCCAGCCGGGTCCCCCCCCCCAGCCTCCCTGGCTCCTTTTGGGGCTCCCCGGTGGAATTTTGGGTTTATAAAAACCCCGAACCTTCCCCTTCGCCTCGCGGAACTTTCGGGGGTTTTGGGGTGGGGGTGGGTGTTGAAATATTTGAAATATTTGAAATATTTGTGTTTAAATCGCTCCGGGAATGAATCCCGGGGCAGGGGGGGTGGGTGTGACCCCCCCCCGGCCGCTTCCAGGGGGGTCTGGGGGGGATGAGACCCCCCCCCGGGCACAGCTGGTATTGGGGAGGGGGCTGGGGAACACTCGGGGGGGACAGCAGGGCTCAGCCAGGGGACATCGGGATGGCCTGGGGACATCGGGGATGGCCTGGGGACATCGGGGATGGACATGAGGACATTGGGAACAGACCAGGGGACATCGGGGATGGACATGAGGACATCGGGGATGGACATGGGGACATCGGGATGGCCTGGGGACATCGGGAATGGCCTGGGGCCATCGGGGATGGACATGAGGACATTGGGAACAGACCAGGGGACATCGGGGATGGACATGAGGACATCGGGGATGGACATGGGGACATCGGGAATGGCCTGGGGACATCGGGGATGGACATGGAGACATCGGGGATGGCTTGGGGACATCGGGAGTGGCCTGGGGACATCGGGAATGGCCTGGGGACATCGGGAACCACCCAGGGGACATCAGGACCCCAGAGCCCACCCAGGGAGACCCCTGAGCCCAACCCAAGGGACGTCAGGAACCACCCAGGGGACATCGGGAACTGCCCAGGGCCACCCCAGAGCCCCCCCCCCAGGTGTCCCCAGTGTCCCCCAGGTGTCCCCCAGGTGTCCCCAGTGTCCCCAGTGTCCCCCAGGTGTCCCCCAGGTGTCCCCAGTGTCCCCAGTGTCCCCCAGGTGTCCCCCAGGTGTCCCCAGTGTCCCCAGTGTCCCCCAGGTGTCCCCCAGGTGTCCCCAGTGTCCCCAGTGTCCCCCAGGTGTCCCCCAGGTGTCCCCAGTGTCCCCAGTGTCCCCCAGGTGTCCCCCAGGTGTCCCCAGTGTCCCCAGTGTCCCCCAGGTGTCCCCCAGGTGTCCCCAGTGTCCCCAGTGTCCCCCAGGTGTCCCCCAGGTGTCCCCAGTGTCCCCAGTGTCCCCCAGGTGTCCCCCAGGTGTCCCCAGTGTCCCCAGTGTCCCCCAGGTGTCCCCCAGGTGTCCCCAGTGTCCCCAGTGTCCCCCAGGTGTCCCCCAGGTGTCCCCAGTGTCCCCGGTGTCCCAGTGTCCCCACCAGGTGCAGCAGCAGCACGATCGAGTCCTGGTTCCGCGCCCGCGCCTTGTCCGGCTCCTGGGCCAGCTGCAGGAGACTGCTGGAGGCCAGCTGGGGACACAGGGGACAGCGGGGACAGCCACAGGGACACAGGGGACAGCGGGGACAGTGACAGGGACAGCGGGGACAGCGACAGCGACAGTCAGTGACAGCGGGGACAGGGTCAGGGCCAGGGTCAGGGAGCCCACGGGGACAGGGCCAGCCAGAGGGGACAGGGACAGGGCCAGCCCCAGAAGGGGACAGGGCCAGCCCCAGGGGGGACAGGGCCAGCCCCAGGGGACAGTGGCAGCCCCAGGGGGGACAGGGCCAGCTCCGGGGACAGTGGCAGCCCCAGGGGGGACAGGGCCAGCCCGAGGGGACAGGGCCAGCCCCAGGGGGGACAGTGGCAGCCCCAGGGGACAGTGGCAGCCCCGGGGAGGGGACAGGGCCAGCCCCGGGAGGGGACAGGGCCAGCACCAGGGGACAGTGGCAGCCCCGGGGAGGGGACAGGGCCAGCTCCAGGGGACAAGGCCAGCCCCGGGGACAGTGGCAGCCCCGGGGAGGGAACAGGGCCAACTCCGGGGACAGTGCCAGCCCCAGGGGGGACAGGGCCAGCCCCGGGGAGGGGACAGGGCCAGCCCCAGGGGGGACAGTGGCAGCCGCAGGGGACAGTGGCAGCCCCGGGGACAGTGCCAACCCCAGGGGGGACAGGGCCAGCCCCAGGGGACAGGGCCAGCCCCAAAGGACAGTGCCAGCCCCAGGGAGGACAGGGCCAGCCCCAGGAGGGGACAGGGCCAGCTCCAGGCTCCTTGAGGTGCGTCTCGATGTTCTTGCTGTGCACGGTGAAGAGCGCGGCCGAGAGCTGCACGATGGCCTTGGCCAGGCAGTGCAGGTTGTTGTTGTGGCCTGGGGACACCGGGGGACACCGGGCAGCCCCGGGGGACAGTGGCAGCCCCGGGGAGGGGACAGTGGCAGCCCCAGGGACAGGGCTAGCCCCAGGGGACAGGGCCAGCCCGAGGGGACAGTGGCAGCCCCGGGGAGGGGACAGTGGCAGCCCCGGGGGACAGTGACAGCTCAGAGGGGACAGTGCCAGCCCCAGGGGGGACAGTGCCAGCCCCGGGGACAGTGGCAGCCCCGGGGAGGGGACAGGGCCAGCCCCGGGAGGGGACAGGGCCAGCACCAGGGGACAGTGGCAGCCCCGGGGAGGGGACAGTGGCAGCCCTGGGGAGGGGACAGGGCCAGCCCCGGGGAGGGGACAGGCCAGCTCACCAGCAGGAACTCCTTGAGGTGCGTCTCGATGTTCTTGCTGTGCACGGTGAAGAGCGCGGCCGAGAGCTGCACGATGGCCTTGGCCAGGCAGTGCAGGTTGTTGTTGTGGCCTGGGGACACCGGGGGACACCGGGGGACACCGGGGGGACACGGGTGGGGAGTGAATAAATGTGGGGACACGGGAAGTCTGGGGACTCGGGAAGGTTGGGGACGTGGGAAGGGGTTGGGAACACAGGAGGGTTGGGGACATGGGGGGGGTCAGGGACAACCCAGAGTCTCCACAGTGCCACCTCCCCTGGTGACAGTCCCAGCGTCCCCCTGTGTCCCCAAACCCTCTGCTGTGACAATGGGACAGGGAGAACCGCCAGCATGGGGACACGGGGACAGGGGACACACACAGGGACATGGGGACACATAGAGGGACACACAGAGACATGGGGACACGAGGACACAGGGACATGGGGACACAAAGACACAGGGACACACACAGGGACACACACGGGGACACACACGGGGACACAGGGGACACAGGGACAAGGGACACAGGGACACAGGGACAGGGGGGGACACAGGGACAAGGGACCCAGGGACACAGGGACAGGGGACACAGGGGACACAGGGGGGCAAGTGACACAGGGACAGGGGACACACACAGGGACATGGGGACACATAGAGGGACACACAGAGACATGGGGACACGAGGACACAGGGACAAGAGAGGGACAGGGACATGGGGACAGGGCACAGGGGACAGGGGGACAAGGGACACAGGGACACAGGACAGGGGGTCAGGAGGACAGGGGATGGGGGGACAGGGGGCACTCCTGGTGACAGGGGGACATGGGACACACCAGGGTGAGGGGGACAATTACACACACAGGGACACACATGGGGACACAGGGGACACAGGGACAGGGGACACGGGGACAGGGGACACGGGGACAAGGGACACGGGGGACACGGGGCCACCCTCACCGTCCAGCTCGGGGTTGTAGAGGGACGCGGGGTCAGCGGCCAGCAGGGGCAGGGACACGGCCACGAACACCAGGAGCAGGCAGGACACCTTGTAATCCTCCTCGGGGGACGAGCCCTCTGCGGAGCAGGGGACAGCGCGGTGACAGCGCCGGCCGGGTGCCAGCGCCCCCCGCCGTGTCCCCAGAGCCCCCCGCACCTGTCCTGTGGCCGGCCAGGGCACTGACCAGCGCCGGGTCCACCTCGCACGGGACCCCCGCGGCCGAGGCCAGCTCGAAGATGCTCAGGGTGACCTGGGGACACGGGGACAGGGGACACGCGGGGTGTCACGCGGTGCCACGTGGCCGGGCCCCCCCCACCCCCGTGTCCCTGTCCCCACCTGGATGTCGGTGTCGGGGGTCACCACGTCCGCCAGGCACTCGATGGGGCCCATCAGGAAGGGGCAGTGCTGGGAGAACACCTGGGGGGGCGGGGGGTCAGGGGGGGCCTGGACCCCAAATGGGGGGACTGGGTCCCCAAATGGGGGTCAGGGGGGGCCTGGGCCCCAAACGGGGCCATGGCGCGGAAGCTCAGGATCTCCCCGATGATGGTCATGCGCTTCAGGACGTTCTCGGCCGCTGCGGGGACACGCGAGGGACAGCGGGGTGACACGTGTGCCACCCCGTGTGCCACCCCCTGTGCCCCCCCCGTGCCCCCCCGTGTGCACTCACAGCTCAGGCGGGGCAGCAGCGCCGGCCTCTGCTCGGCCCTGCAGCAGCGCAGCTGCACCAGCGTGTCCATGTTCTCAGCCACCAGCTTCTGCGGGGACAGGGGGACACTGGGGGACATGGGGGACACTGGGGGACACTGGGGGACACTGGGGGACACTGAGGGACCTGGCACCTCCCACCCTCCCACTGGGCAGAGACAGGGTTGGGTTGGCGCTGGGATGGCCCTGCCTGCCCTGTCATGGTGCCAGCAGCACCAGCCTGTCCCTGTCCCCAGCCCCTGTCCTCAGGTCCTGTCCCCTGTCTCTGTCCCCACCCCCTCTCCCTGTCCCCATCCCCTGTCCCCAGCCCCTGTCCCCACAGGGTGTCCCCGTCCCCGTACCTTCAGCTCGGTCACCTGCGAGCCCACGTGCCACATCAGGTTCTCGCTCAGGAACCTCATCCCGTAGGGCCCAATGAGCTCGGCCAGCGCCCGCATCTCTGCGGGAGGGGACAGGTGGGGACCCTGGGGGACAGGGGGTGACAGCCAGCCCCCCACCCCCGAGCCCCCCAGCCCACCTGAGACGTCGGAGAACTCGGCGGCGCTGAACGGGGGCTGCTCCTCGCGGGGCACCGTGGTGAAGGCCTGCAGGGCCGGGGACAGCAGCACGGCGCCGGTGCTGGCCTGGCGCAGCAGCGCCTCCAGGTACCTGGGGGACACGGCCCTGTCACCCTGGGCACTGTCACCCTATGCACTGTCACCTATGGCACTGTCAACCTCAGCACTGTCACCCATGGCCCTGTCACCCTGGGCACTGTCACCTATGGCACTGTCAACCTCAGCACTGTCACCCTGGGCACTGTCACCCTGGGCACTGTCACCCACGGCAGTGCCACTTACGGCAATGTCACCTACGGCACTGTCACCTACACCAGTGTCACCCATGGCATGGGGACCCAAGTCAATGCCACCCACAGCACTGTCACCCACGAGCTGCCACCACCACTCCCATCCCCATGTCCCTGCTGCCAGCACCCCATCCCCGTGTCCCCCACCATGGTGACCCTGACCACCCCATTGCCATGTCCCCACCTCTTATGGGTGACCCTGACACCCCTTCCCAGTCCCCCACCCCCACGGTGACCCTGGCACCCCGTCCCCGTGTCCCCAAGCCCGCGGTGGCACTGACCAGTCGGTGTAGATGGCGGTCAGCGTGGGCTGCCCGGTGGCATCGCGGGGGTGGCTCTGCTGCAGCAGGACAGCGCGCAGCAGCCGCCCCGTGTCCAGGGCCACCAACTGTCCCAGCCGCTGCACCAGCCCCATGTAGGCCCCCAGCCCGGCCAGCACCTCCGAGGGACGGGCCACCTCCTGCGTGGCCTGGCTGTAGCCAGCCATGGCCACGATGGCCCTGCGGGGACACGGGGGCGGTGAGGGACGCGCCGCGTGTCCCCTCCGCCCCGCGTGTCCTCGGCGTGTCCCCACCTGGTCAGGCGCGTCTCCAGGTGGCTGCTCAGGTACTCGGCCGGTGTCACCGTGTGCCCAAAGACGGTGAAGTTGGGGACGTGGTTGAGGCTCAGGGACAGCTCGGCCAGGGTCAGGTGCAGCTTGTCCATGCTGGGGGACAGTCGCGGTGTGACCCCATGGGGACAGTCATGGTGTGACCCCGTGGGGACAATCACGGTGTGACCCCATAGGGACAATCACGGTGTGACCCCATGGGGACAATCATGGTGTGACCCCATGGGGACAGTCACGGTGTGACCCCATGGGGACAATCCGTGTCCCATGGGGACAACCATACCTTGTCCCCATGCCACACCAAACTTCTGGTAGCTTTAGATCAGCTCCTGAAGTCCCCAAAGGCCACCAAACCCCCAGAGGTTCTGGAGACCCCAAAGGCCACCAAGACCCCAAAGGCCACCAAGCCCCCAAAGGTCCTGGGGCCCCCAAAAGCCACTGAGCCCCAGAGGTTCTGGAGACCACCAAAGTCCCCAGAACCGTGACCCTGTGGGGGCAATCCCTCCCCTGGGTGGCACTCACTTGGTGGTCAGGGTCCGGTCGCGCCGCTGGCTCTCTGTCCCCGGTTTGTCCCTTTGGGGGTCCCCCTTGCGGGGCGGCTGCTTCGGGGTTTTCTTGACGCGGGCTCTGCTGATGGTGGCCGCACAGTGCTTGGGCAGCAGCTGCAGGGCAGGGACAGGGTCTTGGGGACATGGGGACAGGGTCTTGGGGACATGGGGACACCCCAAACCGGGTCACCATGACCACCGGGGTTGGGTCGGGAATGCCCTGCCAGGTTTGGTCCCCATGGAGGAACTTCCCCATCCCGAGGGTTTGGTGGGGACAGGGGGACAAGGGGACAGAGAGGACACGGAGACCGCAATGGCCACAGAGACCCCAAAGGCCACAGAGATCCTCAAGCTGACGGAGACCCCAAAAGCCAGAGGGATCCTGAAGGTGCGAAGACCCCAAAGGTCATTGAACCCCCAAAGATGCTGGAGCCCCCAAAGGTCCTAAAGCCCCCAAAGGCCACCAAGACCCCAAAGTCCACCAAGACCCCAAAGATCCTGAAGACCCCAAAAGTCCTGGAGGCTCCAAAGGTCCTGGAGGCCCCAAAGGTCACCAGGACCCCAAATGTCCTGAACGTCCCAAGGGTCACCAATCCCTCCAAAGGTCCCAGACCCCCCAGACTCCCCCAAGCCCCCCAAAGGTCCCAGAGCCCCCCAGACCTGCTGGCTGAGGTTGTGCTGCTCGGCGCAGGCGTCCAGGACGCAGCCGCTGCCCACCCGCGCCAGCTCCTCCAGGAACTTGTGGCACAGCCCCAGCGCCGCCGCCTCCAGCTGGGGGTACTGGGGGGGACACGGCACCCCTCAGAGCCGGGGATGGGGTTGGGGGACCCCCCGGACCCCCCCCCCGGCTGTCACCCACCTCCTCGGGGCACATGGGGTGCAGGCAGCGCGAGAAGTGGGCGCAGAGCAGGGGGAAGGCGATGGCGAAGCGCAGCATGGACGGCTCGTCCAGCGTCACCGCGAACATCCGCTCCAGGGGCCGCGGGTGGAAACTGCTGAGGGGACAGGGACAGGGACAGCGGGGTCAGGGGACAGGGATGGGGACAGGGACAGGAAAGGGACAGGACAGCGGGGTCAGGGGACAGGGACAGGGACAGGGACAGGGACAGGGACAGGGACAGGGACAGGGACAGGACAGGGACAGAACAGCGGGGTGAGCGGGAAAGGGGCAGGAATTGGGTAAGGGGAACAGGGCAGAAAAAAGGGATATGGGGTGGGAAAAGGGATTACAGGGGTGGAAAAGGGGTGGCAAAGGGGGTGCAGGGATGGCAAAGGGGGTGCAGGGGTGGAACAGGGGTGGAAAAGGGGGTGCAGGGGCAGGCGGGGCTCACCAGAGCTGGGACAGGTCGGAGGTCTCGTCCAGCAGCTCCTCGGGCCGGTCCAGCAGGCGCGTGTGGAACACCACCAGGCTCATGGCGCGGCCCACGTCCCCGTTGGAGGCCAGCGGCAGCGCGGCCTTGGCCACGCTGGTGTAGGCCTGGGGACAGCCAGGGGGACAGGGGACATGGGGACAGCAGGGACACGGAGACAGGGTCAGGGGACATGGGGGCAGTGACGGGGACAAGGACAGGGACTGGGGTCAAGGGGACAAGGATGGGGACAGCAGGGACAGGGAGGAATGGGATTGGCACAGGGATGGGGACAAGGGTGGAGATCAGGACAGGGACAGGGATGGGGACAGGAGAGGGACAGGGACATGGGGACAGGGACAGGGACAGTGCCACCACCTGGGGCCGGAACCAGTCCAGGCGCAGCGCGGTGAAGTCAAACTGCTCCTGGTCATCGACTACGGGGACAGAGAGACATGGGGACAGGGCTGGGGGTGGCAGTGCCACCACAGGGGACCCCCGGGAGCCGCCACCCTTCGGGGTGCCCGGGATTGTCCCAGAGCTCCCGGGACAGCGGGGACACGGAGCTGGGGTGGCACCGGCAACACGGTGAGGGGACATTTCGGGCTGAGAGGGGACAATCCGAGCTGGCAGGGGACATCCTGGGCCGGGAGGGGACAAACCCAGCTGGGAGGGGACAAACCCAGCTGGGAGGGGACAAACCCTCACCTTCCTTGGCCGAGAGAGCCGAGAGGGAGCTGACGAAGGACGAGAGGATCACGGACTCCTCCTCGGGACACACCGAGAGGTTCTGCGGGGACAGGGCGGGCTCAGGGGACAGCGAGGGCCCCGCAGGAGGCTCAGGGGACAGGGCCACCCCCCCGGGGGTACCTGGATGACGTCGCTGAGCAAGAGGGCGTCGAAGCGGGCCAGGTACTGCCGGTGGTAGCGGCGCAGGAGCCGCAGGTGCCGCCGCACCAGAGCCCGCAGCTGCTCCAGCAGGAACAGCAGCTCCGCCACGCGGCTGCGCCGGGGGGGCGGTCAGAGACCCCCCCCCGAAACCCCCCGCCATGCAGCAGTGACCCCCCGAGTCACCCCGAAACTCCTGGACACCCTCAGTGCCCCCCGAATCACCCCGAAACTCCTGGACACCCTCACCCAAAATCCCCTGAACAGCCCCCCCTGGCATCCCCAAAGTCCCCAGTGAAGCCACCCGTCCCTGGCACCGGCCCTGCCACCCCCCCCTGCGGCCAGTGCCACCCTCGGTGTCCCCGTCCTCCCCAGGCAGTGCCACCCGCTGTGTCCCTGTCCTGAACCCCCCTAAGCGGTGCCACCCTGCCGGTGTCCCCCATCCTCTCCCCCTCCAGGCAGTGCCACCCCCAGGCAGTGCCACCCCCGGGCAGTGCCACCCCCGGGCAGTGCCACCCGCGGTGTCCCCGTCTCACCCCTTGAGCCCCCCCAGCAGCTCCTCGGTGACCTTGTGCACCGCGATGGCCTCGTCGCGCACCAGGGTGACAAAGAGGGACCCGCGCAGGGCCTGGCGCCACAGCTCCTGGCACGGGGGGGTGGCCAGGGCACCCGGGCACACCAGGAACCCCACTGGGGGGGACAGCGCGTCAGGGACCCCAAAACGGGGACAGC